TTATATAGCACAATACAAAATATCAGATTAACAAAACGTGTTCTTAATTGATTTGCAAGATTATTTATTAGTTTAGCGACATATAAAGGTCAATAAAATAATATAATTAATCTCATAATAGCGCTTACAATAATTTCAATAATTCAATATACTAGAGGTCCCGCAGTAGTCGAAATTCGACTATAATTAATTGGCATTGTAAGTTTGTACACTATTATGATTGTATTTTATACTTCTATAATCACAAATTTCGCCAAGACTACATTATAAAAAATATTAACAAAGACAAACAATATTTAATCTAGGTATTCTCAATTTGACAACAGACGTCAAGAACAAAAGTTTGACAATAAATAGCATGCATGCGTGTGTGCGTCAAATACATGGTATGTAGTGTGTGTAATGTTTTCTTTATTGATTTACTGTATCTTTTATGCATTATTTAAAAAAAAAATTAGCATTGTTTTTCTCTATATTCTCTATAAGTGTGGAAAATTTCATAGTCCTCCGTCCGCGCAATTCTCGTAAAAAGGGATACAAAGTTTTTGCTTCACGTATTAACATATAGATTTTTTTTTCTTGACATAAAATCTTGCTCCAAATCATCAGAAAATTAATTTCGGACAATAAACGCCGCATTGGACTCAAATTGTCTTCTTTATTTGAATATTTGCAATACGTTACCATAGTGTAAGTTTAGGACGTTGTGATATCGTTATCTGTACCAACATCTACTTATAAGCTAAGTATAGACTTTTTGGCGGGAACGCGAGGAGTGAAGTTGTGTGATTTGTTTTATTTTGTCTATTTAGTGTTTCTTCGGGTTTAAATGTGTAATAATGGTGGTTTATTAACTGTTTAATATCTGTGAAAGTGCACAAATGTGGAAAAATGAAACAAAGCCGCTGGACGTAACTTCTCGGGATCCTCCAAAAAGTCCACTGAAAAAATCTTAGTAAATGACCACCATTTTACTGAGATTATATTTCATCTCATATCATCCCATTTGATTAATGTCTCAAATTAATCATCTTCATTTCATTTCACTCCATAATATCATTTTTCATAAAAATATGAATATACATTAAAATAAGACATGACTTAAAGGTCTCAGTTACCAGGTCATAAAATCCCTTAAAAAAAAAAAAAAAAGTATAAAATACTTGCTGTTTTAGTAATAGGCAATTGATCGTGAAATAATTTACGACCCCACCGTCCCTGTAAATATCACAACGCGACTGCGGTCACTCGCCTTAAAACCATGAGATTAATGAGATCTAATTGTCAATTGAATTACATAAAGGCAATGATTTTTTATACAACAGATATGTTATCTTCATAGTAACTGACTCTTCAAATCTGATCGCGCCATATATATCGACATACCTACCGATATAGTGCACACACATGTTGACAAGTAGCATTAATGAAAAGTACAAAAGATGGGATAAGCGCGTGAGTAAAAAAGATAGATATAATTGGAACGATTGCACTTGTTATATTATTATTGCATTTGTTTAGACGCGACTAAAGACGAAACGTCCCAATTGGCCTGTTTTCGAGTCTTCACTTGACGTGCGCTTGAAACATATCTGCTTCATTTTACATATAAAATATCATTGCATAAAGGCATTTATTTATTAAGTTGCACCAAGTTGCACCAACAAAGTGGTCATCAATACAAAACATTGACAAAAGTTCATGACAAAGGTCACCTCAATTATAAGTGCAATCGACAGTGGATTGACCAACAAAAATAAGAAAAATAACTAAAACTTAATTACATTTGATTAGTTATGATTAATTTATATTTAACTAGATATGACCGAGCTTTTGTTCGGTTTTTTTTTATTATAAATTGTGTTTTTTTAGAAATTATATTTCAATACGAATTACTTATTGATAAAATGACGAAATATGAATAATATTTTTCGATCTTACCGCAGAATGATAAAAAAAATATGAACTGGTTATTTAAAGTAAAAATCAAAATTATCGATAAAGTTGATAATTGAAAACACGAATAAAACAACATTTTCTGAAAATAAATCGTGGCTAGATCGATTTATCGCCCCCGAAATCCCCTGTATACTAAATGAAAATCGTTGGAGCCGAGATTGAGATTATTTAAATATATTTATATACAAGAATTGCTCTTTTAAAGATATAAGAATGATCCGCGACAGATTTTTCCTGTAAAGCTACTCCACACATCAACTGGAACACATGACTACTTAACGGCAGAAACGGGAGGAATAATGATACTTATTCTCACGAGCTTTAAGCATATAGTAAAAAAAAAAGGAGTCTGTGAATGTCCTGAACATCCCCTAAGGATTCCAGCAATAAAAAAAAAGGAATATTATTTATCAAATAACTTTTGCCCGCGACTTCGTTCGCGTGGAATAGTTTTTTTTTGTTTATTTCCCTTGTAAGCATACGAGCACACGGCCCACCTGATGGTGAGTGGTTACCGTCGCCCATGGACTTCAGCAATGCCAGGGGCAGAGCCAAACCACTGCCTACCGCTGTTGTTACTTGGGCATAACGCTAAATTATACCCGCGACTTCATTTACGTACGAATTGAAAAGATTTTTGAATAATAGAATGTTTAGGAGCTATTTAAGGTGCCAAGTGATGTTATATAGCCTATAGCCTTCCTCAATAAATGAGCTATCTAACACTGAAAGAATTTTTCAAATCAGACCAGTAGTTCCTGAGATTAGCGCATTCAAACTCTTCAGCTTTAGAATATTAGTATAGATTTTACTAAGCAAGACACTAGACGGAACGTGAGAATAACATTTGAAGCTTTAAGTCCTCCTACATAAAGTCTATTTTCGTTTATTTTAGTGAAGAACGTAACGCTTTTTGACGACGCTAGATTTTATTGCCCATCAAATCGATATACCGGACGGGAGCTTTGAATAAAATCGATTCTTAAATAGCAAAATTATAATTTGCGTAATTACTGGTGGTAGGACCTCTTGTGAATCCGCGCGGGTAGGTACCACCACCCTGCCTATTTCTGCTGTGAAGCAGTAATGCGTTTCGGTTCGAAGGGTGGGACAGCCGTTGTAACTTGAGACCTTAGAAGTTATATCTCAAGGTGGGTGGCGCATTTACGTTGTAGAGGTCTATGGGCTCCAGTAACCACTGGGCTGTGAGCTGGTCCAACCACCTCAGCGATAAAAAAAAGCGAATTCCGAAGATGTCTTATTAAGTCAACGGTCTCTTTAATTACAATGTACACACGTCGGCTCCGAAGTCCATTTATGTATTTGCAAATAAAAAAATACAGTAATTAATCGAAAATAAAAACAAGATAATTACAGAAAAAACTGGTGCAATAAACTTCCATTCTCACGGATCGTTTCGAACCTCTGGGTCTGCGGAGGGACTTCGGTTCCCTCTGTATTTTGTACCGCATGTTCCATGGGGAGTGCTCTGAGGAATTGTTCGAGATGATACCGGCATCTCGTTTTTACCACCGCACCGCCCGCCACCGGAGTAGAGTTCATCCGTACTACCTGGAGCCACTGCGGTCATCCACAATGCGTTTCCAGAGATATTTTTTCCACGTACCATCCGGCTATGGAATGAGTTCCCCTCCACGATGTTTCCCGAGCGCTATGACATGTCCTTCTTCAAACGAGGCTTGTGGAGAATATTAAGCGGTAGGCAGCTGCTTGGCTCTGCCCCTGGCATTTCTGAAGTCCATGGGCGACGGTAACCACTCCGCATCAGGTGGGCCGTATGCTCGTCTGCCTACAAGGGCAATAAAAAAAATAAAAAAATTTACTCAAGGACAAACTATAAATCTAACGAAGATATTTTGTATACAAAAAGCATTTCCTAAATAGGTTTTGGATTAAAAAAAGCATACGCTGTGCAAGGGAAAAAAATTTTTTTTTGTCTAATATATTCAAACTCATTACCATTATTTTGCATAATACTACAGTAATACATATAAGCTTGATATTATAATTGAGGAAGAATTGAATTAACTAAATTGTTCATGTCAAAACTTGATTGATTAAACACAGGTCACGGTGCACTGGCCGCGAGCGGACACTGCCAATGGACATGGCCAGTATCAGGGCCAAAACGAATTCGATACTAACAGAAAATAATTTGCAAAACGCGTACGATCTCACGAAAAACAGACCAGGGAATTCTGCTTTTTATTTTAAGTTTCATAAAAATACATGCTGCTGCAATTTTTACATAGATATATTAACAGAGCATAGATATCGTAACCAGCTTTTCATAAAATAAAACAAAAACACAAATTTGACTTTTTTTTCTATAATCCCGATCACAAGCAAATATTGATAATGATCCTTATCCAAAAAAAATAGTGCCACCAATATTCATAATACATTAAAATCAATTTTTGCAGTAGGCAGCGGCTTGGCTCTGCCCCTGGCATTGCTGAAGTCCATGGGCGACGGTAACCACTCACCATCAGGTGGGCCGTATGCTCGTCTGGCTACAAGGGCAATAAAAAAAAATTTAAATATTTTCAATTGTACAATTTGAGAAGATGGTTCCAGGCCGCGTGCCTCAAATAACATGGAAAGAAATTCAATTGAAACTTATATTGGATCACGTATCTCATACGAGCTACGAGATTCGCGCTGTATCTACAGACTCTGGTAGCTGACGTTATCAAACCAATCGGCTTTGAAGACGATATAACAGGCGAATCAAAAAAAAAACTGTTTCATATCGCACATCACATTCGGTGCTATAAAGTAACTTATGCAATTTATGTTTTTTTTTTATTGCTTAGATGGGTGGACGAGCTTACAGCCCACCTGGTGTTAAGTGGTTACTGGAGCCCATAGACATCTACAACGTAAATGCGCCACCCACCTTGAGATATAAGTTCTAAGGTCTCAAGTATAGTTACAACGGCTGCCCCACCCTTCAAACCGAAACGCATTACTGCTTCACGGCAGAAATAGGAAGGGTGGTGGTATCTACCGGTGCGGACTCACAAGAGGTCCTACCACCAGTAATAAGTGACGTTATCGCACCGTATGTGTGATATATCAATTTCCGATTAATATTTTTTTCCTTAAAAACCAAACATCCTTAGGCTTCAAACAAATCAACCGCGTTTATCTGCTTAGTAATTGACGTATATATTTCGTTCTCGGCTTTTAAGCCAGCCTTGCCTCTGTAATACGGAAACTCATTGTGCGTGGGCAGATAATAAATTCCACTCTTACTAAAATCAGTTTCTAGGCCCATGTAAACGATATCCGTGTTGTTGAAGCAGTTCGCCAATCTAGCCTCCTGGATGCTAGCGCATTTCACGCCTATGAACTTCTTCGGGTGCTCTAAGGCTTGCCACCAATATAATATCGAACGTATGTGACTGCAAACCACGAGGCAAGGGATGTAGGGGATGTCGCCGGGCTGGTACTCGCCGCCATTGACGTAGACGTCTATATGACCAAGCCTCTCGGCGATACCAAAGCCGTCTATGTTTGTGTGGATGACGTCTACATGCTGACCGTCATTTGGAGACAGTCTAAATTCTTCTGGAAGCGATCTAAAGCACGGGCCGGCGGGGTCCAGGCCGGTGACGCGAAACGGTTTGAAGCCAGTCTTCTCGAATATATATTTGGCGGCCGCTCCGACCAGATGACCCCCAAGACTGGCCCCGACTAACTCCAAATCGTCGGGAGATAAGCCTTGTTCCATTAGCTTAACGAGGAATTCGCCGACCTTCATTCCGATCACTTTGGTAATACGTACTGATCTGAAAAACGGGCGATATACATTTACAGTTCATTGTAAATAATTGTAAAATCACGTATTAAATTCTTTACAGTTTTTTTCATTATTTATTTATTAGATGGGTGGACGAGCTCACAGCCCACCTGGTGTTAAACGTTTACAACGTAAATGCGTCACCCACCTTGAGATATGAGTTCTAAGGACTCAGTATAGTTACAACGGCTGCCCCAACCTTCAAGCCGAAACGCATTACTGCTTCACGGCAGAAATAGGCAGGGTGGTACCTACCCGCGTGGACTACAAGACTCACAACAGATCCTACTAGCAGTAGTTACGCAAATTATAATTTTGCGGGTTAAATTTTTATTACACGGTGCTATCCGTTCACCGTGGAAGTCAATCGTGAACATTAGTTAAGTACGTATGTCATTAGAAAAATTGGTACCCGCCTGCGGGATTCGAACACCGGTGCAATCGCTAGATACGAATGCACCGGACGTCTTATCCTTTAGGCCACGACGACTTCAGTTACAGTACCCGGCGATAAATATTACACATCGGACTTTGGAAAGAGACAATCGGCCGGTTGCGGATTCGTAGAGCGTTATCTCTGTCGCACGAAACGTTCCGACAACACACTACCGCACTTGAATAACGACTGAACAACGTCAAATAGCTTGCAGTGTCTAAGTTTATCTATATATTAATACGTGAACCAAAAACTTTGTATCCCTTTTTACGAAAATTGCGCGGACGGAGGAGTATGAAATTTTCCACACTTATAGAGAATATAGAGAAGAAGTGCACAACACTTATATTTTTTTTAAATAATGCATCAAAGATACATTAAATCAATAAAGAAAACATTACACACACTACAGACCATGTATTTGACGCACACACGCATGCATACTATTTGTTGTCAAACTTTTGTTTTTGCCGTCTGTTGTCAAATTAAGAATAGATTAAATATTGTTTGTCTTTGTTAATGTTTTTTATAGTGTAGTCTTGGCGAAATTTGTGCTTATAGAAGTATAAGATACAATCATAATAGTGTACAAACTTACAATTCCAATTAATTATAGTCGAATTTCGACTACTGCGGGACCTCTAGTTAAAATGAAAACCGTATTGTAACCATAATCTCCTTTTTACTATCGCACCTCCCGTCTTTAAAGCAGAGTTCATTCATACTACTTAGACTGCTTGTTTCCAAAGATCTTTTCACCACGTAACTTACGACTCTGGAATAAACTCCCCTTCATGGTGTTTCCCGAGCGCTATTTCAACGGTAGGCAGCAACTTGGCTGTGCCGCTAGCATTGCTGATGTCCATGGGCGACGATAACCACCCACCATCGGGTGGGTCGTGTACTCGCCTACAATAGCAATAATAAAAATAATAATAAAACATGCCCTCCATCAAACGAGGTTCGAGACGAGTCCTCAGCTGTAGACAACGGTTTCGCTGCGCCTCTGGCACTGCTGATGTCCATGATCAACGGTGACTACTTACCAACAGGTGGACCGAGCAAAAATGCATTACACATACTTAACCACTCCCTCTATTATGCCGATTTACCCTCTATTATACCGATTTACAAACTTTAAATAGTTGTGGGTTGCAATCTCACACAAAAATCTGTACAATGTAATTTACCTATTGATAGCAATTTAAAAATAAAATTATGTACTCAAATATGTTAAAGATCAGTTAATAACTCCACGTTCACAATCAAAGGTCACGCTAATATGTTTTTTTTTTGTTTTTTGTTTTTTTTTATTGCTTAGATTTGTGGACGAGCACATGGCCCACCTGGTATTAAGTGATTACCGGAGCCCATAGACATCTACAACGTAACTGCCGCCACCTACCTTGAGACATAAGTTCTAAGGCCTCAGTTTTTATAGTACAGTGGACTGCCCCAAAATTATTTAGATTTATTGCTTGGAGGAAGACATTTAAAGGGCGCTTTTGCCCACACTGCGATGAATCCCTTATTGACCTTTCCAAGGTAAATACGTATAGGTAATACCTTAGGTATAGAAGAATATGACCCATTTACCTCAGGGTAAACACGTGATTTGCAATAACATGTCGAACGCGACAAAAGAATTGACGGTAATATTTAACGAGCTCACATATTGAATCAGATAAATTATTCATTATGTTATTACACTTGCATTCGTTCGTTTGAAGTATCTTGCACCTCATACACGGACTGCCTTTGACACCAATGTGTCAATCTTACAAGAATTTAATATTAAAACTAGACTTTCCACGATATGCCTTCGCAGAGTACTGGAATTCTTTAGACACATGGCTCAAAAGGATAGTCACAATCTTGAACAGCTGATGGTGACTGGCAAGATAGATGGCAAACGTCCCAGAAGACGCAGTCCCACGAGATGGTTGGACCGGATTCGATCTTGTCTGAACATCAAGTTTCACGATGTGCTCTACAAATCAAGGATCGCAGCAGATGGAGGGAAATTGCATATGAAAGTATGATGCAGCGCCGGGGCTCCCAACCCTCAGTAATGAAGAAAGCGACGCTAAAAGGAAGGGAGGCAACTGGTAAAACTACCAAGGCGTTCGGGTTAAGAATAACCATTTATAGCCGAAAATAATCACTATTCTGATTTCACCCTGATTGATGGGCAAGCTCACGGTGCTCAGTCTGACAGAATTGCTAACATTCACTCTAGCAAGAGCAGTACTTCGCTGAATCTACCACCGGATCGGAATCAGTGAGAAGATCCGGCGAGATCTGGTGAAAGGATATGTCTAGGGCGACGACGGCTGTTGGCTGTCACGTCGTCTGGGTCAAGGATGTAACTTGAACTAGCTACTAGATAGACTAGAATAAAGGCTTATAGTGCCGCAACGCTTTTTTGAAGAATCAATAATCAAGGTCCTTAAATTAAGATTAGGAGCTGTTCGAAACAAAATATATCGCATTATCTCTCAAATTAAGCTGAATGTGTCTTTTAAGTACCGCTTTTTCATTTTATCGAGATTCAAATCATAACAGTTGGCAACACAGAAATATTTACAAATTGAAAAATAATAATCTTTAAAGTATTTTGGGTGTTCTGCAATTAACAATCAACGTTCATAATCAATTCGAGCGTCCATGTAAACCAACCACTTTATTACACTCACACGCACTTACACACATCGACACAGCACAATCAGATTCAAACTTATTCTGCAAGTTATCATTCGACAAAATTTATCTACCTATTTAACTGCCTTACCTTTACCTTAGTTAGACTACCTGTGTTCATTAATTATGTTAACATTTTTTGGATAGATAATGTGTTTCTTTAATTGGCTCATGTTTGGGAAAATAACATCCTCTGTACCCTGTGTCTAGTTAAATGCTGTTGAAACATTGTTGATTAAATAAATAAATAAATAAATGAGCAAGTTTTCACTTGAGAATTTCATAGTGAATCTGAGATAGAACCCATAGAAGAAATAATAAAAAAATCCTTACTCATTGTTCAACCACGTTCCGTAAACACGCTTCTTAGGCTATCCAAACACATTTAAACAAACATTTTAATTGATCATTTCGCAGACAAACGTTATAAAACTGCTGTCGGTGCCTTATACACTGAGTGTAAAATAAGTATCTCTAAATGGCTCAGATCTAAAAACTATGACGAAACAGAGGCTATTCTAAATCATAGACCTTTATAGTAGGGACACGACATATTGTTCTATACGTACAATTGCTTATATAAATAGCACCCATTTTGAAGGCACACACATAAACATATATCTATCACGTTCTTACTCAGCACTTTAACTCGCAGGAAAACAATATAACAGTATTTCAGTGCGTACATAAAATGAAACATGAATATACGTAAATATCTCCGTCTCCGTCTAATGAGGCCGAAAATCCGCCATGTTTAGCGCGCCAAATGTCATTGTTACGTCAGTTCAGCCGTCTGTTTTGGGTTGTACATTATTTATTGACTATGATATCGATTTAATATGATTGATTATATAAAATTTCATAATTTATCATGCTTAAAACATACAAAAATAATAATTAAAACGTATTTTATAGGATCTCAAGAAAGTCGATGTCCTAAAACTATTATCTATATGTATTTAAATTCATTATGGAGCCCTCATCCGAAAAATCCATTTTTCGGTCGGAATCTATTGATCATGACACTAATCATAAATACCACTTTAAAATATGTCATCAAAACATATTTAGACATTCTGTTTAGATATTTCGGGAAAAAGGCTACCGACAAAATCTCTTCGGAACTATTTAAATAAAATAGTTTTATTCCGCAGTGAGTAAAACACTATTGTAAATTTGTTAAATATTTAATAATTAAGTGATTTTAGAGAGGAAGTCACAAGGAATGACGTTTGTAATTAATGAATAAATGTTCTGTAGGTGTTTTTTTTTTCACGCGGTCCCTTGATAAGTTTAAAATTTGAATCACTCTCAAGCGAAAGTGATTCAAATGGTGCGGCGCACCTTCCTTGGGGTGCGCTGCGGTAGTATGTTACGGACTTTAGAGTCAGCAAAACAATTAAAATAGATTGTTATAGTCTAAGAAAAACACGTACTCAAAATACGATAACATTTAGCATGCTAGAAATGGGCTGATGGCTTTGAACTACGCCATATCTTTATGTTTTGCGACAAACGACAACTTTATAAAATCAGTGTAGCAACTTTTAAAAATCATCATATCGTTTACTTGGCAAATTCGAAGGACGAACTTGTCTTAGATTTCACCCATCTAAATCATATCATATTTGCACATAACAATATACCTACTTACTTCCCATTAAAGTATAAATTCTACAAATAAATAATACTCAACAATATTTAAAATAAAATGAGCCAAGAACGTTTATCGATAAAACCTGATAACATTGAAATCTTTTGTAACAGCACTAAAGCCGCCATGTTTTGTGGCCAGATGACGTCACAGTGGCACGAAATTTTGGTTGACGTTTCATTTCCATAGGTTTCCTACTTCATTGTTCTAAATACATCTATGTATTTGACGCACACACGCATGCGTACAATTTATTGTCAAACTTTTGTTCTTGACGTCTGTTGTCAAATTGAGAATAGATTAAATATTGTTTGTCTTTGTTAATATTTGTTATAGTCTTGGCGAAATTTGTGATTATAGAAGTATAAAATACAATCATAATAGTGTAAAAACTTACAATTCCAATTATTATAATAATAATAGTCGAATTTCGACTACTGCGGGATCTCTAGTTAAAGTAAAACACACAAATAAACGCGCGCGCACACACACACACATATTATTTTTTAATTTTTTAATTGCTTAGATGGGTGGACGAGCTCACAGCCCACCTGATGTTAAGTGGTTACTGGAGCCCATAGACATCTACAACGTAAATGCGCCACCCACCTTGAGATATGAGTTCTAAGGTCTCAGTATTAGTTACAACGGCTGACCCGTCCTTCAAACCGAAACGCATTACTGCTTCACGGCAGAAATAGTCAGGATGGTAGTACCTACCCGTGCGGACTCACAAGAGGTTCTACCACTATTAAAAAATAATACTATGCTATAATACCTAATACTGTAATACCTAATACTACAATACCTAATACTATAATACCTAATATAATAGGATTTAATGAGAGAATTTTATGTAAAAATACAGAGAATACATATTGTAAGAATAACGATGCTAGAAGGTTGAGAGACTGATGTATTTTACAGACTATTTGCTATAGAATACAACCAGTAATTACTATAATGGCTTTAACTCATTACACGCTAACATTCCTTCGCAAAATTGATTCGTGAACATCAAATAATAAAAAAATTACGTTTTCCTAATTTAGATTCTATGGTATCCAAATTCTGCGTGTGTGGTCAATAGAAAAATTAAGTGGCATATACAGATGTGTTCCGGAAGAATTTCCAGTTTCACCAGGACAGGTGGGTGAGGACGGGCTCAGCCAGGAGAAGGGGATTGCTAACAACTGCCCCAGCGCCTCCGGAAAATACCTAAAATTTCAGGGGCAGCTGCTTCGCGAATCTATATATATAAATATGAATTGCTATTCGTTAGTCTCGCTAAAACACGAGAACGGCTGGACCGATTTGGCTAATTTTGGTCTTGAATTGTCCAAATCAGACCCAATCCAAAATCCAATCAATTGTCTTGAATGAATTTTTGTGTATGCATTCACAGGACGTCTGTCGGGTCCGCTAATTAAATTATAAAAAAAGTTTAACTACTTACTTCGGGTATATGTATGTCAATAAATGTACTGTTTCCGTAATGAAGACGTTGTAGCCACGCTTCGCGTAGGCGGTGCCTATAGCCTGCGAATGTGGGAAAATGGAACTGTCCAGGAAGCCCACGGCGTACAGCATCGTCTTCTTCGATCTGAAATCTATAGCGAAAAAGTTACAGGGTGTTCTAAAACGATATTTTGTTTTTTAGCTATTGCATAGCTTTTATCGCGGGCCTTGAGCGCGGCGACCGAATCATGAAATTCCGTAACGAAAAAAACCTTACACCCCTCACTCCGCCTACCATGTAGCTCGCGTTCAATACATGCACACGTTGCGCTTGTGTAATGTTTGTGAATAAGCGCGCGGCATGACGTCACACTGCATGCGCATCATGAAAAGTCTGCCCATCTCTCTCTCGCGCGGTCTAGCTTATGAGTGTGAATGGGGCAGTTAAGGTTTTGCTTTTATTAATGTTTAATATAGCGTTGTCTTGTTTTATTATTGTTTTAATATTAAATTATCATTGTCTAATTATAATTGCATAAGTTGATAAAAAATGCTATCCAATAGCTTTACCGCGGCAGTTCCCGAGTGCCACACGTTTTTTTTTGTTCACGTTCTAATGCTGTTCTTTTTTCCTACCTAAGCTGATGGTCTAGAGAGACCATAGAGTAAAGTCATCGTGGCTTAAGGGATAAGAGGTCCGGTGCATTCGTGTTGAGCGATGCGCCGGTGTTCGAATCTCAGGCGGGTACCAATTTTTCTAATGAAATACGTACTCAACAAATGTTCACGATTGACTTCCACGGTGAAGGAATAACATCGTGTAATAAAAATCAAACCCGCAAATTTTAATTTGCGTAATTACTAGTGGTAGGACCTCCTGTGAGTCCGCGCGGGTAGTACCACCACCCCGCCTATTTCTGCCGTGAAGTAGTAATGCGTTTCGGTTTAAAGGATGGGGCAGCCGTTGTAACTACCTGGTCAGGTCATAAGTATTGTCACAGAGTAAAAACTTTTCTTTTAGAATGCTGGCCACAAAAAAGTTTATTGAATTCGAATTTCGAATTGTTCATGAAAATAAAAATGTATACTTTTAGAATTTTACTCATTTTTAAATATGGAGGGGACGCTTAAAGAAGACCGTGTTGCAGTTATTGCGTTGCATCGTTGCGGTTACGCGCCAATTCAAATTTTTAACATACTGAAAAATTTGAATATAACCAAAAGATTCGTTTATCGTACCATCAAACGATACAATGAAGACTCTAGTGTAGATGACAGGTCAAGAAGTGGTCGCCCTCGGTCTGTTAGGACTCCAGCAGTGATAAAAGCTGTGAAGGCGCGAATTCAAAGAAATCCCAAACGTAAGCAGAAACTGTTGGCCCTTCAGATGGGGTTAAGCAGAACCACGGTGAAAAGGGTGTTAAATGAAGACTTAGGGCTTC